CGAACAAGGCGCTCTGCGAGGTCTTCGTCGGCAACCTGGACTCGGATAGCTTTGACGATAACGTGATTAGGGATGCGGTTGCCACACTATTCCAGGCAATCCCCGGGCTCTGCGAGGCGTACCCCGACAGCCGCGACGTAATCACCTACGTGCACAAACCAGTGAATCCCCAGGGGCTGTTTGCTTTCATGGGGTTCCAGGACGAGACGCTCGCCAGCACCGCGGTGGCCATGAGCTTGGCTTCGCGTAAGAGTGACCCTTCGCCGGAGTGACCGTCGGTGCGGGCGCACATGGCTCCCCCCCAGCACCAGCTTGCAATGGCTTGCTCGCTTGAATTTGGCCCCCACGCGCCACCCCGAAACCGCGCACCACAGGTCGTTCTTACCATTTATATATCGGGTGGAAGAAAGTCCTGGGGAGACTTGTTCAATGGGATTGTCCGGAGGGGTTGTCCAGATCTCCGCTGGGTTGTCCAAGGGTTTGTCTGGGGTAATCGTCTTGCTGTTGCTAATCAGCACGGGTTGTCCTGGTTGTCTGGGGGGTTGTCCGAGGATTCTACCGATCGGGTTTTTTCATTGAACACAGCAGTAGGGTCACTCTCTCACGTGTAGCCGATGAGCGGGTTCCGTTGCGGCAAGCGACGTGTGAGGATCTCCAGGCCAAGGGGGTATAGGGACCCTCCTGGAGGGCCAGCCCCGCCACTCGATCTGTCCAGCCTGCGCAGGGATGGGCTGCTCCCCGCGGTGCCCTTGGTGGACTCGGACGCGACGACCTTCGCCGACCGCGTGCTCGCCGACGCTGTGCTGCTGCGTCCGGCGTCCGACGTGTCAGGGTCAGCGAGCGGGCCGCTGGGAGACGAGACGTGGAAGCGCATGTGCGAGGTGTTCATAGGGAACCTGAAGGTCGGCTGCGTCGAGAGGGAACTTTATGACGTCATCGCGCCCCTGTGCGCGAACGAGCAGAATTACCGTCCAGAATGCGGCTTGCCCGTCAAGAGTATCCGGATACACCCTACAGGCAAGTTCGCGTTCGTGGAGTTCCAGAATCCAGATCTAGCGACGAGCATGATCTGTACGTTGCACAATGTGGAGGTCCAAGGGCGCCTGCTGAAGCCCAAGAGGACGTCCTGGTTTGAGCAGTACATGAGGAACTTGGTGAGTAATGGTCAGCCGCCGCCACCTCCCCCGAACAAGGTGAGTGAGGGTCAGCCGGCACCGCCACCTCCCCCGAACAAGGCCACCTTGGTGAGTCAGGGTCAGCCGCCACCGCCACCTCCCACACACGAGGCCAGACATCCTTTCACTGCTGAGACGCCCCTGTTCTCCGTGCCGCCCCCCCCTGATGAGCCAGCGCCGTGCGCGTCGAGGCAAGGGGCTGCTTGGACGTCAGCACCAGCTGGAGACTGCAATGATCCCACCGCGGCTTGCACTATCCCGGGCAGCCCAGCGTGCAGCACTCCTCGATCGATCGCCTGGAGCAGCAGCTGCATTGGCCAGCCACGCCAGACTCCGATGCCATGGCGAAGCCGCACCGTGGCGCCAAGCTTGGAGCACTGCGGTGCGCTGTTGCCCGCGCACGGTCCGCCCACGCAGTGGACTTGGTCGCCCGGGGCCGAGGAGGCCGAGGACTCGGAGCTGCCACCTGGGGCGCACGCTGGGGAGATGGCGTGACGGCCCCAGAGGCGTGATGCGCTGCGTGTATGTGGAGGAAGACCTGCGTGGATCACTCCTTCTCTAGGGGAACAAAAAGTGGCATAAACATAAACACTCGGAGGTCCGCGCGGATTTCTCGGATCAGCGCTGGACCCCCCTCCCTGGCGCGCGGAGCGCGCCAGGGGCGGCGCCAGAGGCACCGCCGGGGGTCCCCAGCGCCGATCCGAGAAATCCGCGCGGACCTCCGAGTTGTTATGTTTATGTCACTTTCTCTTCCCCTATTCTCGTGTTTGGCAAGATCTGGTATCTCCCGAGGCGCTCTACGTGCCTTATCCACGAGCTGCGTGTTAGCAGCCAGCTCTGGCCATCCAGGGTTGGGGCCATGCCCTGCACGTTCCGTACAAGACTGTGAGGCGCCCGCAGAGAAGCAAAGGCATGCTTGTGAGGGCGCCTGGCGTTTCAGGTTGACTTCTGGAGCGCAACGCAGTGAAGGGGACAACTACTTCTTATGCCATGTTTCCCCAATGCACGTCGCTTTTCTGCTCTTGGTATGCCCGCCGTAGTTGCGCTAGTCGCCTGTCCGTGCCGCTACTGAGACGTAGTGATGGCTTGGGGGCCGTCGTCTCAAGGGAGCATCGCGGGAATTCTGTGGAGGACAGCACAGCGTCTTGGGAAAGGACGCATCCTCTTCATCTTTATCATTTTGCTCGGCGCTGTCCCCCCTTCCTGCGTTTTCCCCTTGGGCTTGACATGCCCTCGACGACCCGAGGTGGAATCCCTTCAGGTCCAAGCTTGGTGCCGGCATCGTGGGCGGGATCGAGCAGATGCCCGTGAAGCCGGGCGCGAAGGTCTTCCCTTGCCTCCTCTCCTCCTCAATCCTCCTTCATCCTCCCCCCTTCCTTCCCTTCCTCCTCCTGCTCCTCCTCCTCCTCTTCTTCCTGCCCACTCGTGCTTGAGCTTCCATATCCAAGGGGCTGCGAGGCCTGAGTAACCTTGACGGACCTCCCCTGGGCTCCCCCTCCCCTCGCCCCTGGACTCTGACTCATCTCTTCGGCGGGTTGGAGGAGCATGGGTAGGAGTCGTTTCTCGCTCTACTCCGAATCTGGCTGAGCCGCAGCCGTCTCGCCGAGCTGCCAGCCCGCCAGGCGGAGGACGCGTGACGACGCGTCCTCCGCCGCGACCCTCTCGGCAGTCCCCGCCACCGATGACGATACCGCCGATGCCGCTGCGCCAAGGATCCAGCGCAGCACGCGCCGCAGAACTCCGCATAGAACCGCCCGACCGCGACTAGCAGCACGACCCGCCGCTGGGCACTGCGCGCTGGCGCCCACGCCGCGCTCGGGTCGACCTCGTCCGCTTTCAAGCCGCTCCTGCTGGGGCCCATGCCGCCCGCGGCCCAGTTGGCAGGCTGAGCGTCCTCCGCCGCGCCCGGACTGCCACTCCCCCCTTGGTGCCGACGCGACCCTCGCGGTCGTCGCCGGGGCCTCTGTGGGGCATGTTGTGTGCATTTTCGGGGTCGGGAGGATGACATGATCATCTTGCTCGCCAGAAGGCGGCGGAAGGTCGGCGGAGGCTGGCGGAATTGAATGGCGCTGGGTTCGCCTTTTCCGCCAGTGGGAGGACCGCGGAAGCAAACAAGAGTGAGAGATGGGCCCTCACGAGATGATACGGCTTTTTGGCCAAGGTTTCCCAGAGTCGGGCAGATCTCTCCTTTTCCTTCCCCCTCACCCATCGCTCGCTTGACTCAGGTATTGACGCGCTTTGGCGAGAGGGCTATTCGTTTTAGAGGAAAGTCTCTGTCCTCCAGATGCATAGGACACTTTTAATATACGTGTATATGTGTATCGTTATACTCTCTATCCTATGGATCCAGGTTGGGTCACGTTCCTGGACCTCCTTGCAGACAATTCGCGTCGTGTCGTCTGGTAGCGACCCCGCCGCCGGCGTTAAAATGCTGCACGCCTGCGATGACCCAGAATCGGTTGAAGTTGCACGATCTGACGACTCGGACACGGCCCATCGCTCCAGGCTGAACGATCCCCGCGGCGTCGGGGACCGACGCCGAAGTCGGTACGACGCGAACCCCCCACACGCCCCTTCCACACACCCAGAGATCCGATGCCTGGATTTTTTCAATACAGGGTCCCGGGAAAGCTTGACCCGTTCCCAGGGACCGGTGTTCCATCCCGAGCCGTGTTTGGACGGTCCCGGGGCCCGGCGAGGGCCCCCTGTAGGGGCCGAAACTTGCGAAACGCCGCCGTCTTGAGTTTTGTCAATGCGTTGGCTCTCTGGGGCACGAGCTGGGCGCTGTATACGCCATGTGATGCCTCCCGTGGAGGCCACGAGCTGCGACAAACGTGCGCCTTGACTCCTGCAGTGCGCTGCACCTCTTGGGCTGCCCCCGGCCCGCCTCGCCCGCCGCGGCGGGCCCATATAGGCGCCGGCCCCGGCCGCCTCGCCGGCGGCCGCGCGCCGTGCTCCGGCGCGAAGCTGCGCGCGCCGTGCCTCGGGCCGAGCGACAGGCTGCGCGGGCCGTGTCTCGGGCGAGCTCGGCGCTGAAAAGCTATGCTACGCCCGAGTCAGGACAGCATCGGCGCAGCACGGCGGAGCAGAGCCAGGATTGGCCGTGGCCAACCTCATAGACCTTAGCCACCCGGGGCCGTGTCTCGGGCTGCGCACGGGCTCTCGCGGCGTGTCTCGAGCCGAACGAACAGGGGGGTGACGAAAGCTGCTGCCTGCGGCTGGCTTCGGTCCCACCGAGCGAGGGGCCCATGCCTCGATGTACCTGGGCGCCTCCGGCGCCAGGAGGCGCCGGGAACATCGTCTACACGTGAGCCGATTCTCGAGCCCCCCCCCCCTTTGCTATCCCCCCCTTTCGCCCGGCCCGAGTGTCGGGTGGCCTTACGGCTGGAGCCAGGAGTTGGCCGCTCCGGGCACGGACCGTGCCCGTGCCCGCGTGGCCTCCCCGACTCTGCATCTCGGGCGAGCGTGTCTCTCTCTACAGGGGGGGAGGCTCAAAAATAGGCGACAAAAACATCAGGGGATGATTTTTGATCTGATTTTTTTGTGGGGTAAATTCTGGTTCATTTTCCTCCCGAAGACCGCCTGTATGGGGACTTGCCGGACCCAACTCCACATCCTTCCTCGAAATCAAATGCAAGTTTTTCCCATGGCGTGGCGGCGCCCCAGGACCCCAGACTCCAGACTTCTGACGTTCGCGCCGAAAAGGGCGACTGCAAACACAAACATGTGACCCCGCGGGTCGCGCTTCGCGCGTCCATCAATTACAAGACACTTGCGTTTGAGTGCGAGGAGGGTTGTAGGCCTCCTCCCAGATGGAGTCCGTCCGAGCAGATGGGTTCGGAGGATCGCTCCGCATCGGCGATGCCTCGGCGATGCGGCCCGATGCGGAGCCCGATTTTCTCCGCACCGACGCCGCCGATGCGTCGCCGATGAATCGCCGATGCTTCGCCGATGCTTCGCCAATGCCTCGGCGACGCGGCGCGATCTCCGACCCCATCTACTCGGATCCCATCTTGGGAGCCATCTTGAGGCATCTTGCGCTATCTTGTGCCATCTTAGAGGTCAGCATGGGCTCTCTGAGGCCCTCTTGGAGCTGCCTTGGCCCATCTTAGATGCTCTGACCGCTGGAGTGGCGCCCCGTCTAGGTCCAGGGGATGGGGTAGGGGGAGGGGTCGAGCTACCCACCCGTCCACAAGCCGTCTAGCTCACTCCCACCCGCCCTCCCAACGTAACACCCGTGCCTGAGCATGTACAGCGATCGTCTTTGGATGGACAGCTACTGGGAACCAGAGCCGACCCCAGGTGCGCGACGCTTGGGCGAGGTGCGCCACGCGTGCCAGGGGCGCCACGCGCGCCACGCGCGCCAGGCACCCCTGGGGCACGAGCGTGCCAGGCACGCCTGGTGCGCCAGATGCGCCACGTGTTCCGAGTGCGCCAGGTGTGCCGCACACTCCAGCAGCGCCAGGTGAGCCATGTCCGGGGCACGTGCAGAGTGCGTCAGGTGTGTTTGCGAACATGACAGTGCACATCGGGAGACATGTCGGCCCCGCCATCCTTCTCGAAAACCAATGCCCATCATTGTGTCTGGTGGGCCTGTGCACAGCGGGCCACGCGCCACCACGCCCGCGGTCCCTGTCAACAACAATTTGACAGTGATCGCGGGATGGCCGCGCATGATCCCGATAAAGCTGCGAGGTGCATTTTGTATTGTTTTTGTCAGGGATGGTAGCCCTGCGCACGGCAGGGAATATGCTGGCACCCACGCCATTTGTATCAAAAACAATACAAAGTGCCCGCGGGCCTCACGAACATGACTCAAGATTTTGCCCCAAAGTGTACTTTGTGTTGTTTTTGGTAGGGATGGTGCTGGGGGGCGCAGGGGTTTTGCCGCGCATGCTCCAAATGTGGAGGCAGAGTGCGGTTTGTATTGTTTTTTGTCAGGGGTGGTGGGGGGCAGGTCGGCATGGTGTCGGCATGGTTTCGGGTTGGCCACCGGCCAGGTGGGGGAGGGGGTGTATATTGATAGGGAACGGTGATCCAGCTACCCACCCGCCCTCCCAATACATGACTAACATCCGGGCCTGAGCATGTTCAGCCGTCGTCTTTGGATGTGCAGCTACTGGGAATCAAAGCCGACCCCAGGTGCGCGACGCTTGGGCGAGGTGCGCCACGCGTGCCAGGGGCACCACGCGCGCCAGGGGCGCCACGCGCGCCAGGCACCCCTGGGGCACGAGCGTGCCAGGCACGCCTGGTGCGTCAGATGCGCCACGTGCTCCGAGTGCGCCAGGTGTGCCGCACACTCCAGCAGCGCCAGGTGAGCCATGTCTGGGGCACGTGCAGAGTGCACAGAGTGCGTCAGGTGCGCCTGCGCACGTGACAGCACACATCGGGAGGCATGTCGGCCCCCACCATCCTTCTCGAAAACCAATGCCCATCATTGTGTCTGGCGGGCCGCGCACAGCAGGCCACGCGCCACTAGCTCGCCGTCCCTGTCAAAAACCATTTGACATTGATCGCGGGGCGGCCGCACATTATCCAGACGTAGCCGCGAGGTGTATGTTGTATTGTTTTTCTGTTAGGGATGGTAGCCCTGCGCGCAGCAGGGAATATGCTGACATCCACGCCATTTGTGTCAAAAACAATACAAAGTGCCCGCGGGCCTCACGAACATGACTCAAGATTTTGCCCCTAAAGTGTACTTTGCACTGTTTTTGGTAGGGATGGTGGTGGGGGGGGCGCATCGGGTTTGGCCGCGCATGCTCCAAATGTGGAGACAGAGTGCGTTTTGTATTTTTTATCAGGGATGGTTGGAGGGGTAGCCCTCACGGGGTTGGCATGGTTTCTGGTTGGCCGCTGGCGGGGTTGGGGAGGGGGTGTATATTAATAAGGAACATTGATCAAGACACTCCCTAGATAGCAAGTCGGATAGCTCACTCCCACCCGCCCTCCCAACACATAACTAATACCCGAGCCTGAGCATGTTCAGCGGTCGTCTTTGGATGTGCAGCTACTGGGAACCAACACCGACCCCATGTGCGCGACGCTTGGGCGAGGTGCGCCACGCGTGCCAGGGGCGCCACGCGCGGCAGGCACCCCTGGGGCCCGAGCGTGCCAGGCACGCCTGGTGCGTCAGATGCGCCACGTGCTCCGCGTGCGCCTGGTGTGCCACATACTCCAGCCGCGCCAGGTGCGCCACGTTCGGGGCACGTGCAGAGTGCGTCAGGTGTGCATGCGCAGGTGACAGCATACATCGGGAAACATGTCGTCCCCCGCCATCCTTATCGAAAACCAATGCCCGTCATTGTATCTTGTGGGCCTGCGCACA